TTCTTTAGGTGGAGGAAGCCACGAGTTAAGCCCTTGACTTTCCACAGGTGATGGTGTGGATCCACGGTGGTGGGCTGACCGTGGGCATGGCTTCCATGTGCGACAGTACTGCACTGGCAGCATTTGAGGACGTGGTGGTGGTCAATATTCAGTACCGCCTGGGAGTCCTGGGCTTCTTCAGGTGAGACCGGGGCTGTGGTGGGCCCTGCGGGAAGTGTGGCACCAGGACAGCCCTGTGATCCCTGTCCCTGCCACTTTTCAGCACTGGAGACCAGCACGCCGCCGGCAACTGGGGCTACCTGGACCAAGTGGCCGCGCTGCGCTGGGTCCAGCAGAATATCGCCCACTTTGGAGGCAACCCTGGCCGGGTCACCATTTTCGGCGTGTCTGCGGGTGGCACAAGTGTGTCCTCCCATGTGCTGTCACCCATGTCCCAAGGTCTCTTCCACGGAGCCATCATGGAGAGTGGGGTGGCCCTGCTGCCCACCCTCATCCCCAGGTCATCTGAGGTGGTCTCCACAGTGAGTGTCCTCACTGCCCAGGCCTGCTGCTCCTGCCTATACTTCATCTCTGATCAAGGGGCACAAGGAGGGAGGACCATCGGGTTCTCAGGCCCTGCTGCCTACCACTGCATTACTGAGAGGCTCTAGGGTTAGAAGCCACACACCTGTGTCCCAGCAGAGGCAGAGGTGGTTCTCAGCTCCACCAGCTGCCTGCCCTGAGCCCCAGGTTTTCAGCAACCAGCTCAGCAGGTGCTGCCCACTGCGGCTGGGCGGTGCCAAGTCATGGGGAAGGAGCAACAATCAGCTTCCACTGCAGCCGTGCACACACCACACCCTGTGTGATCTGGGGTGCAGCTGCCTCCAGTGGGGCCTTGGAAAACCCCCACGACTCCAGCATGGCTGTGCCAGCCCCTGTGTGGTCCCGTTACAGGTGGTGGCCAACCGGTCTGGCTGTGGCCAGGTGGACTCTGAGACCCTGGTGCGCTGCTTGCGGGCCAAGAGTGAAGAGGAGATGCTGGCTATCACCAAGGTCGGGCCCCGTGCACATGGGTGAGGGGGTGATGGGCTTGTGTGCACCTCATAGTCCCCGGGACAGCTTCCTCGCATCCAATCCTCCTGACATCCCAGCCCTGGATGGAACAGGGGACCCAGTCCTGGATGCCAGGCTGGGGCCCCTAGGGGGTGAGGGTGAACACGCTGGGCTGAGCCAATCGGGGATGGAGAACGCAGAGGGCTTTAAAGAGCACCTGGGACACAGTTTCCTCCCTACCCCCTGTGACCCACAGGCCTTCATGCTAATCCGAGGGGTGGTGGACGGAGTCTTCCTGCCCAGACACCCTGAGGAGCTGCTGGCCTCGGCTGACTTTCAACCCGTCCCCAGCATCATTGGTGTCAACAATGATGAGTATGGCTGGGTCATCCCTAAGGTGAGTGCCCACATTGCCCATGTGGGTGGGCAGGGTTTCTGGGCTTCAAAACTCTAGGCACAGCCATGCCAACATGGGACTCTCGCCTCTCTATCAGCTCCTACTTGCCATTGACCCTCAAGAAGAGAGAGACAGACAGGCGATGCGGGAGATTACGCATCAAGCAGCAGAACAGCTGGTGAGGCCCCCAGGCTCCTGCCACAACAGAGCGCATCCCAGACACCTGCCCACACAGGGAATCCGGGAACCAAGGCTCAGCTGTGTGTTTGGGGAGGGGTCTCCCGGAGCCTGGTTCTTCCCCCAGTTTCTGACTATACAGGACCTCCGTCCCCCAGCCTGAGGCTGCTGCCTCCCTCCCAGGAGCTGCTCCCCTCACTCCTTCCCCTTCCCCTGGGCCAGATGCTGCCTCCCGCTTTGGGGGACCTGTTGATGGACGAGTACATGGGGAGCAATGAGGACCCCAAGACCCTCATGGCCCAGTTCCAGGAGATGATGGCAGACGCCATGTTCGTGGTGCCTGCACTCCGAGTAGCACATTTCCAGCGTGAGTTCATCTGGGACTGAGGCCTCACTCGCTAGGGGCAGCTCAGAGCTGGGTCCTTTCCTGAGGGTGACGCCTGTCCTGTCCTGGTCCCAATCCGATTCTTCAATGGGGCCCAGGGTGCCGGGGACTTGGTGTCCCTGCTCTCAGTAAACCCCCATGGCTTGTTCCAGATACCGACATCTCCACTCTGGTACAGTGGAGCAGATTGGGCTGAGTGAGCTTTACTCACTGACCCAGACCTCAAAGGCATGAAGTCCAACGCCAGGATCTAACCCAGGGCTTGCCCAATGTGCCTGTTCCCCCTGCTACCTCTCCCCAACTGCCCAGGACCCAGCCTGGTGAAGCAATTATGTGTCATCCCCATGGGCATTGTAGGAGAACACCGGGAAGGGGCCACCCATCTCCCTGTCCATCCCCAGGTACCCACGCCCCTGTCTACTTCTACGAGTTCCAGCATCGACCCAGCTTCACAAAGGACCTCAGGCCGCCCCACGTGAGGGCCGACCACGGCGATGAGCTGCTCTTTGTCTTTAGATCACATTTCTTTGGCAACAAAGGTGAATCCTCCTCCTTCACCAGGATGGGATGAGGTCCAGGCTCTCTCTGAGGGGCTCTGCACCCACCATTGGGATGAAAGGAAGAGGCTCAGATGGGATCCAGGGTCCAAAGTCTTACAGCTCAGAGGGCAGAGCAGGTTTGGGTCTGAGAGTCCTGAGGGTGCAGCCTCTGCTCCCTCCTCCTGAGCCCTCCCAGGGATGAGTGTCCAGCCTGGGTGCACTTGGCTTCAAAGTCAGGTCTGTTTCCTTAGAAATGTCCCAGGGTCAGAGGAAGAAGCAATGCAGGCAAGGGAGAAGCCAGTGTGATGACTTAGAGGCTGACTGGGATCGTGGAGCGTCACACAGCAGGTCCCACTGGTGAGGGAAAGACATAGAGGTTGGCGAGTAGCCGAGGGTCAGCTCCACCTGGGCTGCGAGCATGGTGAATGATGAGGCAGCAGGACTGGGGTGGCTGAGCTGACCCTGCCCCTCCCCTCTGCAGTGCCCCTCACTGAGGAGGAGGAGCTGCTGAGCAGGAGGGTGATGAAGTACTGGGCCAACTTTGCTCGCAACGGGTGAGACAATCCCCCCCTCCAAACCACAGGGACCTGGGACCCACTGCCCTCCCTTCTAAGTCACATGACAGCGCCCTCAACAGCTGCAGGACCCACTGGCAATCACAGGGGCCCTGGGGACCAGGCACACTCTTCCCATCTCCCAGTGACCTGGGGTGGCCATGAGCTGCTCTGCCCAGAGTCTCCCTGTGGGGGAGGGACAGGCCAGGTCAGGGTGCTGGGTCCCCATGTGGGGCTGACACCAGGGGGAGGTCATTCTGTTGCTGCTTCTGGAAACCCATTCCTCACTCCCTCCTGCCTGCAAGGTGGCCTGGCCGGACCCCAGATAGGTGCTCAGGGCTGGGCTGGGCAGGGCTCAGAGTGACCGCACTGCCCCCTTCCTGACGTCTTGTCTGCAGGAACCCCAACGGCGAGGGCCTGCCATACTGGCCCGTGTTCGACCAGGACCAGCGATACCTGCAGCTGAACGTGCAGCCTGCAGTGGGCCAGGCCCTGAAGGCCCGCAGGCTCCAGTTCTGGACCCACACCCTGCCCCAGAGGGTCCAGGAGCTAAGGGGCACTGAGCAGAAGCACAAAGAGCTGTAGCTTCCTGTGTGGGGTGGGGGACAGGGGCTCCAGTGCAGGTGGGGCCCCGATGCACTCACACACATCCCCGGAGGAGCCATGCATTCAGCACTCTCATACGGCCACTCACTTCTCCTGGCCTCCGTCCACTCAGCAGACCGTTGTGAAGAACCAGGGCTTGAGGTTCATTGTCAAGCCTGCCCTGGGTCCCCTCGTGTGAGACACACCCAGTACACCCTCCATGGAGCTGTATGGGGCAACACCAGTGCCAGCCCTGCTTCCTGAACACCCACTGGGCCTTGGGCCCCTCCTGCTTCTTGCCCCCTCCACCTTCTCCGCACCCTCCCTCTCTATCCTCCCAGCCCCAGGCCCTCCCCACCTGGAGGGAGCTGGTTGGGGATTGTTGTCCACCCCTAGGTGCCTCAAGCCCTCCCCCTACTCCTCCTCCCAGCATGCCTGTGATCTCACATCTCTTAGTAGCCACAGAGGACCCAGACACCAGGAGTCACCGTGGCTTCATCCCTGCAGGCTGCCATGAGTGACGCCCTCAATCCCATCCATGTAGCACAAATAAAGGGTTCCAGTCCTTTCACACCTGAGTCACATTCACCTGAGTGAACCTGCCACGTTTTCTTAGACCCTCAGCTCTCTAAGACACCTGGTTACCTGCACAGCTGGGATACCATGAATCATTGATGCAGTAACCTGGAGTATAGGGCTGTTGCTTTGCAAAGGGGGTTAAGCCTCTAACCATGTCTCTGACATCTCATATGAGTGACAGTTGAGGTCCCAGCTGCTCCACTCCTGATCCAGATCTCTGCTAAGGCACCTGGGAAAGCAGCAGAGGAGGGCCCAAGGGCTTGGGTCCCTGCCACCCAGGTGGGGTACACAGATAATATTTCTCCCTCTGGAATTTGCCCTGGGCTAGCCCTGGCCATGGTGGCTGAGAGAGCCCTGGGCTGAGCAGAGGTCAAGGCCAGTTCTCAGGAGGCATAAAGTCAGCCTTCATGAGCCAGGGTCCACTTCCCCTGGGGGCTCCCGTGCCCAGGCTGCTCCTCCTTCCTGCAGGGAGCCTGATGTTTCCTACACTCAGGCTGACTCCCGGACCCCCCACTGCTGTCACAGGACCACACGTACCCTGCTGGGTGCCCGGTGGGGAAGGTGTGGGCCCTGGGTCTTACATTTTACTCAAGGTTCTTGTCCCCATGGAGATGAGGATTCACAGCAGCAGCAGCCACAGGCAGTGCACAAAAGCAGCTTTGATTTCAAGGACAGAGAGCGTGACCACACCTGCACGCCTACTGAGGGCCGCCTCACACGGAGAGACACTCAGCAGGAATGGGCCAGGGTTGCCAGGAGGAAGAGAGAAGAGGCAGCCCAAGGAGGATTCCCAAGCACAGCCAGGGGCAGAGAGGGCCCTCCCCTTTCTCATCCCGGGGGGCGGTGCCCTAAATGCATAACCTAGTGGGGTGGGATCTCACCTGTGGGAATACGGAAGGGATTGCTATGGCCCCTCCATCCAGAATTTCACTTCCATGTTTCCATCATGGCTTCTCCTTCCTGGTCCCAGCTAGAACACAGGTACATCCTGGGAAAGTGGTGTCACAGTGTGTTAAGCCACAATCTGCAGTGCCCTCATCCCATGTAGACACAGAGCTGAGTCCTGGCGGCTTCACTTCCGATCCTGCTCCCTGGGAAAGTGCCTAGGAAAGCAGCAGAGAAGGCCCACGTGCTTGAGTCTCTGCACTCACCTGGGAGACCCAGAAGAAGCTCCTGGCTCCTGGCTTTGGCCTGGTCCAGCCCCAGCAGTTTGGGGAGTGAACCAGATGATGCAAGATCTCTCCCTTGGGGCCACAGCTGTGACATAGTGGGTAAGGTCGCTGCCTGCAGTGCCAGCATCCCTATAGGCACCGGTTCAAGACCCGGCTGTCCCACTTCTGATCCAGTTCTCTGTTGTGGCCTGGGAAAGCTCTGGAGGATGGCCCAGGTGCTTTGGGCCCCAGTACTCGCATGGGAGACCTGAGGAAGCTCCTGGCTCCTGGCTTCAGATCGGCGCAGCCAGGCCGTTGCAGCCATCTGGGGGAGTGAAAGAGCGGATAGAAGACGTCTCTCTCTCTCTCTGCTTTTCCCTCTCTCTCTGTGTATCTGTGACTTCAAGTAAAATAAGCAAATCTTAGAACAAACAAAGCAATCACTCCCTTATCTCTCCTTGTCTCTCTGTAACTTGCCTTTCAAATAAATAACAAAATATTTTTTAATAGATTCTCAGAGAAGGCCTCCTGGGTGTCCAGTCACAGCCCATTGCTGCTTGCTGTCCATCCCTACACTATCCTGGAGTCAGCCGGCGAGGACAGTAAACTTGGTGACTCCAGGACTGAGGAGAGGGATTGGACACCCAGAGGAGCCAGGAGCCAGGGGGGAGGCAGGAGCCAGGAGAGGCAGCCCACCAGGCCCTGTCCTCTCAGTCCTGCTCTCCTGCAAGGCCCCCAAGCCCCGCCCCAGGGAGGCGGCCTGCTTGTTCCCTACCTCTCCTGGGCTGGGCCCGGGTCCGCCCCTGAATCAACGCCCCCCCAACTCCCCTTCCCCCGGCCAGCCTCTGGGCTCAGAGCCGCCCATGTGGACCTGCCTCAGACCATGGCGACGCACCGATAGGGCACACAGCTCTGCGCCATGGCCTGCGGGCTCCTGCTACTCCTCCTCATCCAGGCACAGGGTGAGGCTCCCCCAGGCGGCAACAGGGACCCAGGTCAGCTCTGCCCAATCCCGCAATTAGAGCCTGTGGCCACGGGAGGGCAGCACCTGGGCTGCTGTAGCTGGTAGAAGTGACAGTGCTGGCCACTGAGGCTGGGGAGGGTCGGGGCTGCCCAAGGCCCCAGACACAGAGGACTGAGCCCAACATAAGGGCTCTGAGCAGCGCGCCTCTTGGTCGGCAGCCCATGAGGCAGGCATTGGCTTGGGAACAAGGGAGGTTCCCTGGGCTCGAGGCTGCCAGAGCAAGTGACCCCGACAGTGAGGAACCTGCCCCGGGACCATTTGTCTCCAGGGCTGATGACAGTAGGCAGAGTGGCTTCCTGCCCCCACCAGGTGGCCCCAGTCTGGTAATTGGACCTGCAAAAACAAAGCCCCTGATGCCAATCCAGAAGCCCATCTGTAACCCAGGGTCTCCTCTGACCCCGTGCGCCTGGCAAAGGTTTGCAGGTTAAGGCTCCAGGGCAAAGGTGACCCCACCCTAGAACCTGGCATCTGTTTTATTGTGAGCTCAGGCCATGTGGGTATTACCCATGGCGTGTGTTCTTGATTCTTTGTCTCCTCATTCTAAAGGCCCAGGTCTCTAACCCCACCCTCTCCCTATCTAATCCCCAGCACAGGCCCCACTCCTCCCCCTCCATGCTCTCCCACGGGCTCCCCGCCTGCCCTGCGATGCACAGACTCTCCCGGCGACCAGGACCTTCCAGGCAGATCGTCTCCCCCACATCACTGTGGTTCCTAATATCTGGGGCTGCTTCCCCACTCAGAGAGGGGGCAGTTGTTCTCCAAGGACCCTGGGAGTCGCTGTGCATGTCCGGGAAAGGAACCGCGGCAGCGTCTGCACAGAAGCCGCCCCTGTCCTCCGTGGACTCTGCTGAGCTCAGCTCACTGTCAGCCTCACAGCCGGAACTGCTGCTGCAGGCAGCGCTGTCCTCCATGGTTGGGGCGAACAACAAGGACAAGGTCGGGACCAGCTCAGGACAGAGGCGCTGTTTACTCACCGCTCCGGGGCCAGGCTCTCCTCTCCCTGACCCAGGGGCCCAGAGCACCCTTGTGGCCGGCATCACCTACTGTGACATAGGAGGTTCCTCCCGAGGAGGAGTCAGCTTCCATGGGCTGGGGATGATTGATTTCTGCTGGTTTGAAGGCAGAGACACAAGGAAAGAGGGAGAGACAGTGAGAAAGAGCTCTCCCCTCCACGGTCTCCCTCAGACGCCCGCTCTGTTAGGAGGGGAGCATCCCAGCGGCCTTGCTACTGCTGCTCCAAGTGTCTGCCCAACAGTTGGCACTTCCCTTGGGCTTCTACCGAGGGTGGGACCTGCAGGGCAGTGGAGCTCCAGGTTAAGTGTTGCAGGACTGCCCGTCGGGTTCCCAGAGCAGGTGTCCCGTTTCCCTACACCAGCGATGCGCAGAGGTCCCCTCCCCACCCCCGCGCCCGCGCTCTGCACCCCTGTGCGGTTGCCCTGTGTTGCTGAGTCTCCCTCACGCTTCAGCTCCCTCTCTGCCTCGCTGTGCTCTTCCTCCTGATTCCTGTGTTGAGAAAACGGTGTACCCCTGGCTCTCTCTGGAGGGGGAGGCCCCGTCCCTGTGGTGCTTCTGGCTGTTCCTCTGTCCCCTCACCCTGTGTACACAGGAATTGTAGCCTAGAGGCTCTGTCGGGTTCAGCTGTTAGGGTTCCGCTGCTGTTTTTTCTTGTTTAGGGAAGACCAGCATGTGGTGCTGAGTCCTCACCATAGAACATCTCGACCTTTTCATATCTGATTCGTGGCACAACATAGGTCATGAGGGGCCACATTGGGAGCAGAAGTGGAGCCACCTCTGGGGACGCCCCAGCCCTGAGCCCTGTGCCCGGGTCCCGCCTCGGCACCTCCTGATTCCAGCTTCCTGCTGACCTGCAGGCTGAGAGGCAGCAGGGGGGCTCCGGTACTGATCCCTGCTTCCCACTGGGAGACCCCGATTTTTTTTTAACTTTTATTTAATGAATATAAATTTCCAAAGTACAGCTTATGGATTACAATGGCTTCCCCCCCATTACGTCCCTCCCACCCGCAACCCACCCCTTTCCCACTCCCTCTCCCCTTCCATTCACATGAGGATCCATTTTAGATTCTCTTTATATACAGAAGATCAGTTTAGCATACATTAAGTAAAGATTTCAACAGTTTGCTCCCATACAGAAACATAAAGTGAAAAATAATAGATGATTTAAAATGATGATGAAATCAGATCAGACCTATTGTCATGTTTAATCCCAGTGAGAGTCAAGTTGGGAATTGATAATTTCTTCTTCTTTTTTTTTTTTTTACAGAAGATCAGTTTAATATACAGTAAGTAAAGCTTTCAACAGTTTGCACTCCCATAGAAACACAAAGTGAAATATACTGTTTGAGTACTCGTTATAGCATTAAATCTCAAGGTACAGCACGCAAAGGACAGAGATCCTACATGAG